TCAGAGAACGCAGCTCAAGCCCAGGCTTGGAAATGCTTTGTGTGTGCCAGTACTGGACTTGAGTTCAGGGCCTCGTGCTCTTGCTTAGCTTGTTTGCTCAAGGCTAAGGCTCTACCACTGGAGCCAGAGCTCCACTTCCAGATTTTTGCTTGCTAATTGGAGATAAAAGTCTCACAGACTTTCCTGCCTGGGTTGGCTTTGAACCTTGATCCTCAGACCTCGGCATCCTGAGCTGCTAGGATTACATTTTTTTTTAGAAATAATTATATATTATAAATCTTTACTTATCAGCAGTTACTTACAAACATATTTGCTATAAGTAATAATTATAAGTATTTGGATTATTTAATAAGTAATATATAATTGCATGTACTTTATTGCTAATTACATATTATTTAAAAGTGATCACGTATTATTTACAAATAATTATTTATCCTCATATAATTAATTATAATTGTTTATAAGTAACTATTATGGTAGTTGCTTATAATTATTTATAAATAGTTACATATCAATTATATGTATAATATGTATTAATATAATATAATGTTAATATAATTTTATTTATAATTAAAATTACATAATAACTGCATAAATAGATAACAATTTAGCATAATACGTCTTCATCCCTCAGCCATTAAACCATTCTGTGATAGTGGTGAGAGCGTGAGAGAGAGCAGCAGACAGGCCGAGCACAGAGCGAGTCTCGGCTGTGAGCGCGTTAGTGGAGATGGTGGTTCATGGAGGTTGCCAGAGGCCTGGCTGGCTCAGGGGAACAAGGGCCGCCTTGTGCATGGGGCAGGCGGGACACCCATCAGTTTGAGTAGAAGCCTGAGCTCCCTCACCTGGTGGGGGCAGGGGACCAGGTAGCGTGCTCTGCACCCCAGGTCTGACCCTGGCCCTCGCAACCATCCCTGGATATCCACAGTACATAGTACCTTTCCCTGGCCATTGCAGCCAACAGCTGGTGCTGTTCAGGGGACGTCTCAGACAGTCCCAGCCACACACCAGAAAGGCCCTTGAGGTGAGAGTCAAGGGACATCTGCTTGCTGGGGACCTGTGAGTCCTGTGGCCCCGTGCCCACCCTTTTTTTTTTTAATTTAATTTTATTTTATTTGTGAACATACTGTACAGAGGAGTTACAATTACATGGGCAGGATAATGCGTACATTTCTTACCAAGCATTGCAGCCTCCTCCTTTGTTTACCCTTCACCTCCCTTCCCAGCCTCCCCCCTCCCCCCAATCCCAATCCTTCCCCTTCCCCCCCCCCCCCCCCCCCCGCACCGACGTTGTAAAGCTCGTTTTGGACATGACAACTTGTACTTCTCATTGTTGCAACAGGTCCACCTGTATCCTTAAACAACTGGTTTTTCCCCATCTCCTCCACAAGTTATACTGACATCAAATATAGTGAAAGCAGGGGTTATACTGTGGGGGAGGGACATACAAAGCAACAAAGAGATAATCTTATAAATGCGTTAGAAACACATGCATGAAAGAAAAAAACATTAAAATACACATCTAACGGTTCATTTTCCTGATATCACATTATCTGACCTTTTCCGCTTGATTCATACATATACTAGATATTACAAATAAGGGAAACCATGGGACCTATGTTTCTTTGCCATGCCCACCCTTTTAACACCACATCCAGAGCCCGCAGTGCTTCCTGCCCTCGGGGCCATGTCCCCTTTATCTGCAGGAGGACTGCAGGGGGCTGCGATTGCTGAGAGCTCCCTAGAGACCCAGTGCCACCACCTCCTCCTGCTGGCCCCTTGGGTACTGCCTGGAGGCTGAGTCCCCAAACCTTGGTCTATGTTATATATTTTATTTTATCTCAAAATCTATTAGCATTCATTGTCTTTTAGAACAAGGCAGATCAGACTATCTGAGCATAGGGTAGGGTCCCTATAGGTACCTACAGCACCTTTGTATTGATGTTTTTAGGTGTTACCTGAATAGACAGATGACCTTAGCCCTAACTTGCATTCTACACAATGTCTCCGGGGACAGGTGAACGGGGAGTACATTTGAATGCTCAGCCGCCAAAATCTGGAGACCATGAGTGCCCCCGCATGAGCCTGGGAGTTCATGGAGCCCAGAGATCAGGATGCACTGTGTGTCCCTCTCCCACCAAACTGAACATTTGGGTTCTGTGTTTGCTTCTTGGTACTCCGAGATCCTATGACCTTGTTTAATTATTCTTCATCAGAAAAAAACAAGAGACCTTGCTCGGGAAGGTCTGAGCATGCAGAGGTAGCAGGGTCTCCTCCTGGAGCCAAGGAGCCCTGTTTTACAGAACTTCCCATCTTCTTCACCATACCTCAGCCCAGGATGGAAGAAAGGAAAGAGGAGGAGGGGGGGGTAGGAAAAGGTAGAGAAGGAGGAAAAGGAGAAGGTAAAAGGGAGGAGGAGGAAGAGGAAAAAGAAGTAGAAAAGGAGGAGGAGGAGGAAAAAGAACAAGAAGTGGTCATTTAAAAAGTTCAACACAGGCCCTGAGTTCAAACCTCAGAACCAGCAAAAAAAAAAAGAAAAGGAAGAGCAAAGCAGAAGCAGCTGAGCAGCTGTAGAGCTGCAGGAAAGCAGGAGCCCAGGGATTGGATAAAATGTCCTGCTGTCATTGAGATGCCTGTTCACCAGAGCCCTCCTGTGCTCAGTTGTGAAACTGAGGCTGATCCGCGGTTCTTCCCCCTCTTGGATTCGGAGGCTGGCTTGCCTGGGTGTGGGTGACTCAATGGCTCATGACTCAGACAGAGATGACTTGCTTGGGTCTCTGTTGCTGCCTGAGCCTGGCTTCCTGTTCACGCTGGAGCCAAGTACCCTCTGACCAGTTGGGATGGAAACACTGGAGTGTCGGCTGTCCTCTACCTAAAAGCTGATGCTGGGCATGGCTGGCCAGTTCTGCAGCTCGACTTGTTCTAACACAGGTTCAAGCGCAGGTTGTGGAGGGCAGGGCAGTCAGAGGGCGGGCAGCATGTGTTGGGAGGGGCGTGATTGTGTGAGAGAGTCCTAGGGCCTCTCCTCTCCAGCCTCGTTCCTCACCAATAAAAGCATCAGGTCCTCTCCATCCCTTCTGTCAGGTGACTCACACCTGTCATCCTAGCTACTCAGGTGCCTAAGGTCTGAGGATCACAGTGTGAAGCCAGCCCAGGCAGGAAAGTCCATGAGACTCTTATCTCTAACCAGCAAAAGGCAAGAAGCAGAGCTGTTGCACAAGTGGTAGACTGCTAGTGTTGAGCAACCAAAGCTAAAGGGAAGCACCCAGGCCCTGAGCTCAAGCCCTAGGACTGGCACACGTGTGCGCATACACACACACACACACACACACACACACACACACACACACACACGCACCTTGGCTTAGAGCTAAGTTTCATTTGTTTACTGGGGATCGCAGGTGAATTCACTCAGCTAAAACATAGATGAGGCCTACAGCAGGTCCCCCTCCCTGACTCTGCCCACTCCCTGGGAAGCCACCTCCTCCATAAACATTACTCATTGCCCTGGATCCTGTCTATTCTCTACTCTTACCTAGACTTAGAGATATGCCAAAAGAGGTTGGGGGGGGCTAAGCTACTTCTCAGGTGCACCCCAGCTACCTAATAAACATCAACCCAAAGAAGGGGGCAACATAGAAACTGATAAGAAATATACTGGCCAATAGAAATTGATTTCCAGGTTCTTTCAAGATGCCCAGGACTGGTAGCATTCATTCCGGGGCTGCAAACCGCATGCACTTCCCAATCCTGCACGTCCTGCCCGCTGTCTCTATCAAATTACTATATTCCAGAAATATGCATAAGGGAATTGATTACACACATTTTTATAGTGGGTTGTTGTTTGTAGCAGCAATTGAAGTACCTTTTCCGCTTATGAAAGTACTAATTGTATTTGTTTTTATTGCTTTGCTAGATGCAATTATTTATTTAGTGTGCTTTGGCGTTATTCAATTATGTGTACTATAGGAACATCATAAAAATGTATGAAAACAACACAGAAGCCCAGGCTGGTGACCTGTATTGAGAAAACGTGTTATTTTTCATATCCAAACCTAATGAAATAACTTAAGAATAAATAGATAATCTACACTACAAAACAATGCAATTTCAAGGCAAATGCAATAAAAAAAACACCTGGACAATATGATTTCATAAATCTTGGTTCTAAAATTTACATGAGTTGGGTTTTGAGTGTTCATTGGAAGACACGGGGCATTTCTAAATGGAAGCATTATAACGTGAAATGTGATGAAACCCAAAGCAAGACTGTAAACAGGGTTTTATGGGCAAGTAAGATATGAACAACCAGGAAGCCAAGTAAAGATGTGTGTGTGTGTGTGTGTGTGTGTGTGTGTGTGTGTGAAAACTCAAGCAGAGACTCTCAAAAATGGTGAGACAATTCATGCAGGCTGCTTAGTTGTATCTTGTCAGGAGCCTCACCTGATGTGATCAAGATGGCATTCTCTCTTCTACGTTGACACTAATGAATACATTCACATTTTGTAGCCAGGCAGCAGTAACTCACACATGTAATCCTAGCCTCTCAGGAGGCTGGCATCTGGGGATCACAGTTTGAAGCCATCCCCAGCAGTGAGATCTAACCTTACTTTATTTGGGGTTCCATATATGCTTTAAAACTTTTTGGGCTGGGCTCTAGTGGCTCATGCCTATAATCCGAGCTACTCAAGAGGCTGACATCAGAGAATCTTGCTTCAAAGCCAGCCTGAGCAAGAAAATCTGTGAGACTCTTATCTCTAATTAACTACCAAAAAGCTGTAGGGAGCGCTGTGGCTCAAGTGGTAGAGCACTAGCCTGGAGCAGTGCCTAGGCCCTGTGTTCATGACCCAGGACTAGCACTAAACCCCACCCTCCCCCCCAAAAACCCAGAATGTTGGTTCATTTGTTTCCCTTTAAGCCCCCCAAATGCGGTGAAAACACACACGTGTGATGAATAGACATGTGATATCACAATTAGAACTGTGTTGTTGTCTCCACAGCCAAAGATTGCTGAAGAAAACCTGACCTACGCGGAGCTCGAGCTGGTCAAACCACACCAGATGCCTAAAGGCGTGCCCACCAGCACCGTGTATGCACAGATCCTCTTTGAGGAGAACAAGCTGTAGCTCCGCCCCCAGTTATTTATGAAGCCCCAGAAACAAAGCCCCTATTTTTGTATTTTCACTCGTGCCTTCTGTGCAGTGGGGAGCCCCTTCCCGGCTGCATTTCAGTGCCTTCCAAGAGGTACGAGGCTGCTTCCCCGCGGAAGAGGGGTCCCAGCCCTTGGACAAACCTCTCACGACGTGCAGGCCCTAGGCTGACCCTCGGGTCCAAGAACTCTGCTCCGAGAGCACCGGAGGACTTTGCTGAGCCATCTTCTTCACCCTCTTGTCTTCTTTCCCTGGGTTTTAATTGGTTCAAATCTTTTTTTTTAAAAAAAAAAAAACCTTCATTTTCTACCCTTTCTGTATCTGTGGCACCCAGTCCTTAGATTATAGCTGCAGCAAGTGCCATTAGAGGCAGAGGGTAAGATGGCACACACCGTTTTCCAAGGTGCAGATGACACTGCCTGGACACCAAGAATACAGGAAACCATGACGGCAGCCGCACGTGATGATATCTGTTGCTTTAAACAGATGCACCAACCCTGGTAACATTGAGAGCCGGAGTGTGACAGACCTGAGGTCTCTCCCCAGGAACCCTGGTGCCTCTCTCCTCACTCATCATTCTCTGAAGTTCCAGATCCAGAAGGCACCATTCCAAAGCCCTGGCCTTGCAACAGGCCTGAGCCAACAGAGAAACTCACATCTTGCCTTTTGCCAAAGAAATAAGCTTGTGACACACTCCTGTAATCCTAGCTATCTGAGAGGCTGAGAACTGAGGATCACAGCTTGAAGCCATCCCAGGCAAGATCGTCTATAGAACTCTTATCTCTAGTTAACCACCAGAATGACCAAGGAGAGATATGGCTCAAGTGGTAGAGCATCAGCATTGAGCAAAAGAGCTAAGGCACAGCACCCAGGCCCTAATACTAGCATAAAAAAAAATCAAAAAAGGGAAAGGATGAAGAGAAAGAGAAGAGGAGGAGGAGAAAAGCTTGCCACCAATGGACAAAGGGCAAGAAAGTCTCCTCAAAGTGTGCTGAGCTCTGGTCAGCTGGTGCTGAATGCCTGCTTGTGGGAAAGCAGGGTCTTTTGCCAGGTTTCCTTAGGGCAGGAGAAGCAGAAGTACATACCACTCTGGAAACCTGTCCTGACAGCCTGCTCCTACCAGCACCATCCCATCTCACCTTTGCTGTGAATTCTGATTGGCTTGTGTGGGTGTCAGGAGTGTGGATGTTCATCTGTGGGGAAGTTGTTCTGTGGGACACATGGTGTATAAGAATCTTGGACTTGCTGAGTGGATTCTTTGTGCAAGAGTCACTCTGTGCTTACTGTTAAGGATGTTTCTGATAATGTGCGTGTACTCTGGGTGGCTATTCATGGCACACTATGGAAGTTACTTGGCTATGTAATGGACCTTGTACATGTGATAAATCATCTCTTTTAAACACAGCTGGTATATGAGTTATGTCCATCAATGTTGTGTGACATTGGTTGAATTTCTTATCCCCTGATAGTCTCAGATTCTATATGTGTGTAAAAGTGACTTGGGTTTTTATAGAATTCTTAAGGGGAAGATGGGAGAAGGGATATTCCCAGATTCTGGAAACTGTAAAGTGCTATACACATGATCTCATTTGAGATCTAGTTTAAAGCCATCTGAATTGTCAAAAATCTCTGAGGCCTCCATTACAATAGTAATTTTTTCCAGCACTGGGGATTATACCCTGGGTTTTTAATATGCTAGATATGTGTACTCTATCTCTGAGCTACACCCCTAGTTCTAAAATAGCTTCAAAATGTACCATGAACCAGTGGCCAACACCTGTAATCCTAGCTACTCAAAAGGCTGAGATCTGAGGATTGAAATTCAAAGCCAGCCTGGGCAAGAAAGTCTGTAAGACTCTTATCTCCAATTAACTACCAAAAAAAACTCTAAGTGGAGCTGTGGTACAGGTGGTAGAGCACTGGCATTGAGCAAAAAAAGCATAGGGAGAGCCCAGACCTCAAGTTCAAGCTGCAGGATTGTTCCCAGTCCTGCAAATAAAGGCAAAATTTTGTCCACAAATTTAGCTCTGTAGTAATAGGAATCGTTCTTATGGATTATCCAGAAGGAATCAAATGGATACCAAGAGAGTTCTCCCTTTACAAAATGAAAATTTAATCTCTTCCCAACACCTCAACATCTCATTCCGTCTCTACCAGATCTGAAAGGTAATGGCTATGTCTCACAGTGTGTGAGGAGGGAAGACTGTTAGAAAGAACTTGCTACAATCAAGGTCATCCTCTTTAGGCAGGGAGACTGTGGCCAACACTCCCTTCATATTGAAATTGTCATGGAAACACTCTATGTTATCTTGGAAGTGTTCCAGCAGATGGTGGTACAGCAGTTTGAGGATGCATGGTGATTCCTATCATACGTACAAAGACCCACATGGGTGGGTGGGACCACCAAAGTGCCAGGTGGGATGGAGAATTGGGTGTATGGCAAGGTACAGGCAACATCTTCAGATATACTTAGGTCTCCAATTGTACCCTTTATAACCAGTGAGAACTAGGAGCTAGAAACAAACACATTCCACTAAGCATAGCACAAGCTTTAGTGTGTGTGTGTGTGTGTGTGTGTGTGTGTGTGTGTGTGTGTGTGTGTGTATTAGAGCTTGACCTCAGAGCCTCATGCTCACTGTTGTTTTCTTGTTTGTTTGTTTTTCCCTTAATGCTGGCACTCTACCACTTAAGCCATACCTTCTGGCTTTTTGGTGGCTAACTGGGTATAAGAATCTCACAGGCTTTCCTGCCTAGGCTAGCTTTAAACCAAGATTCTCAGATCTCAGTAGCTAGGATTACAGGCGTGAGCCACCAGCACTTGGCAAAAGCATAGCACGTGTTTTAAAAGCTGCTTTGAACCTGTCATTATAGATTCAGTTCAGCCCTCTTCTCTCAAACTCTGGATATAGCTGCACAAATGGACACAAAGATGTGCGATAGGGGATCTGCTGACCATCCCTCCCTGAAGATGTTTCTCAACGGAGAATGGAGGCTTCAAACCGAATCTGTGCAGAGCTTGGCCCCAGTGGCCTGTCATCTCCACCCAGACCTGGAGGCAGTGGAGGATTTATACCTGATGTTTGTTTGAGGTAATCAATGTGATCATTCTTGCCATTGTGAGCTTTAAAAAAATGTGCCTGAGGGGGCTGGGAAGGTGACTCAGTGGTAGAGCGCTTGCCTTGCATGCCTGAGGCCCTGGGTTTGATTCCTCAGCACCACATAAGCAAAAAGAAAAAAGCTGGAAGTGGTGCTGTGGCTCAAGTGGTAAAGCGCTAGCCTTGAGCTGAAGAGCTGAGGGACAGTGCCCAGGCCCAGAGTTCAGGCCCCATGACCGGCCCCCCCCCCAGCAAAAAAAAAAAGAAAAAAAATGTGCCTGAGCCAGGCATCAGAAGCCCATGCCTATAATCCCAGTTATTCAGGAGGCTGAGATATGAGGATTGCAATTCCAGGACAGCAGGGGCAGGAAAGCCCATGAGAGACTTATCTCTAATTAACCACCTCAAAGCCAGAAGTGGAGCTGTGGCTCAAGTGGTAGAGTACTCACCTTGAGCAAAGAAGCTCAAGGACAGCACCCAGGTCCAGACTTCAAGCCCCAGGACCAACACACACACACACACACACACACACACACACACACACACTTCAAGCCCCAGGACCAACACACACACACACACACACACACACACACACACACACACACACACACACAGTGTCTGCTCACTTATTCTGTATTATTGACATTTCTAAAGCTAACCATTTAGATAGAAATTAGGAAAACTTTTCCAGTTTGTTCTTACTAGGCATCACTGGGGCAACTACAAAAGAATTGTTTTCTTTTCTTTTTTTTGTTGGTTGTAGGGCTTGAACTCTGGGCCTGGGCGCTATCCCTCAGCTCTTCAGCTCAAGGCAAGTGCTCTACTGCTTGAGCCACAGCACCACTTCTGGTTTTCTAGTGGCTTATTGGAGATAAGAGTCTCATGGACGTTCCTGCCCGGGCTGGCTTTGAACTGTGATCCTCAAATTTCAGCCTCCTGAGTAGCTAGGATTACAGGCATGAACCACCAGCACCCAGCAGGAATCATTTCCCAAAGGGACTACTTAGAAGTTTACTGTAGTCCAAGCAAACAGACCCATCACTCACAATACAGTGGCAGAGAAGACTGGCTCAGATTTGGTAATGATGTGGCTAGGATGAATCACCACAGTAAGCAAAGAGGGGTAACAAAATTATACCTGAGTATAGTTATCTTATATCCCTGTCAAACAAAGCCCTAGTCCCAGAGCTAAAGCAGCTTTGGTAGAGGAGAGAGCTGGCTTCAGTACAGCTCCGAGCACTTGGGGAAAAGACTAAAAGGCCAAACCTACCACTTCTTGAGTCTTACTGGTGTAAAAATAACATACATTCATCATAATTTGAATATATAATGAAGTAGGTTGGTCCTATGGCCAATGACTCTCTTTTTACTGATGATTCACAGCCTTCTTGTCACTTTGGTAAACATATCTATAAAGAGTTTGGGCAAGTTGGGTGCTGGTGGCTCATGCCTGTAATCCTAGCAACTCAGGAGGTTGAGATATGAAGACTCTGGTTTGAAACCAGACTAGGCAGGAAGGTCTGAGAGATTCTTATCTCCACTAAAAAAACAGTTGCAAGTAAAGCTGTGGCTCAAGTGATAGAGCCTTAGCCTTGAGCAAAAAGAAGCTCAGGGACAGTATCCAGGCCCTGAATTCAAGCCCCAGGACCAGCACAAAAATATGAATAATAATTATTATTATAAAGTATTTGCACATAATCCAGTACACCCTCATAAGTACTGTAAACAATCTGTAGATGAGTTACAATACCTGATACAAAGCAAATGCTATGCAAAGGGCTGTCCTATCCTGTTGTATAGGGATCAATGCCAACATACTTCTATTTCAAATACTTTCAGCCCACAGTTGGTTGACTCTGTAGATGCAGCTCCTATGGATGGAAAAGCCATTGTAATCCCAAGCCCGTGCTACAGTCTGCACCCTACCTCTTTGGCAGACCCATCCCAGGCTCTGAAGATGTCCTCAATGGAGCACTAATGCACTCCTGCTCTCCTTAAGGAATTGACTTCTTAGGAGCAGAACGGGGACCCGAGCATGGCTGAAGTAGTATGCAGAGGGTGGTGACTCCATGGGCCGGTGCATATATATGGTAGGAGCCTATTTGTGTTGGCTGTATAGGTAAGATGGCTTCCATGCAGAATGTGATGTCCTCTTGAGTCTCCTGATCTTGGAAACTGGGCTCA